ATAAATCACGAAAAATGTGATGAAATAAGCTAGCTTATAACCATCGGTGCACCTTTAAAGGAAAAAGACTGTTTTAGATCATGAAAAAATCAAATTAGTAAATGTGTGCCTCAACATGCATTGTTTGATTGCACCACGAAACGGGTGTATGACAGCATTTACTCGTAGCATTTCAATCGCCCGAGAGATGGCAGCACGGGCTGAAAGTGTTCGCTGAGAACATATCGTTGCGTGCTCGTGTTTGGCCCTTTCTTGTACGGCTTTTGAATGTTCATCTGGGAGCTTAACATGTGTTATTGTGCTCACGCATCCGGTCATATTGTTGCTCTTAAGAAGGATGTCCGATTAAAACTCTTTCCATTTAACTAGGAGTCATGTTTAACTTCCTGCATTATGCAGCACACAACAGAATTCGTGTTAAAATCTGAGAAAGTTTGCACAACATTGGTTGCTAACCAATTGATAGCTACCTCATCTGGTGATTGCGTTCACGGACACGACTCGATATTTTTTGGCCCTGAACGCCGCATGGCCAGTGGAGTGGTGGGATTTGAATGGCGTTTTTATGGCGCTTCGGATGCCTGGGTGGCATTGAAATCGCTTCAGTGAAAAAGTCAGCACATTTTTACGGGGGTGTGGCTCAGAAATCAGAACATTTTAGAGCTTAAGAAGGACAGGACTGTGGACTGCACCGAATGGTTTTCAAGACGAGGATTTCTACTAAAAGATCCCATAGAAATGTGAAACACTTCCTTTAACTTAACATCGTCATAACTGAGATTAACTGTAATACTCCAGTAACACACCGCCACCTCTCGGTAAGTTAAGTCTTTCAAGTGAGTCAGCCAGCCTTCTTCTGTTTCAATTCTCACACAGCCACTCTTGCAGCAACTCTGACGTGATAAACCAAGGACCTAGAATCGCTTTTGAACTGGGGTGGGAGATAAAAATTCCACCGCAAAAAGACTGTGCAGGAGTGAAAAAATCAATTCACAAAACATGGAGGTTATGAGCTCGTGACTGATGCTTCAGCAAACAAAGACATCTATTTCCAGTTGGCATGGACGTAATGTCAGGAACCTGACAAAACTATTTCGTTTTTTTAACATCTTAGGCCATTAAAGTGAAACAGAATACATTAACACGCGCTCGGGTGGGGGGTGGGGGGCAAATTGACCCCCCCGCCCGAGGGCTTTTCCCGAATGGTTTCTGAACGGCGCGGAGTAGTTGCGCCAAATTTTGCATAGCTGTAGAAAATTGCATAGCGGATCGTTTGACATACAAATTTTAGATATACCTTGTAAGGTCGCTGACCTATGACAGATCAAAGTCAGCCCATGGTTCCAGCGGAGGCAACTTTTAGGCAATCGTTCAATCTGATTACAACAACGGAGTGTTTGACGAAGACAGACATCTCTGAGATGCTTTCTTAGGCACCACAAATATTGAATGACCAAATTACGTTGACCTAAGGTTAGGTATGATGGTCAGACCAAGGTCAAAACCAACCTGAGTTGTTACTCTAGGGCTTGCTGTATGGAATAGTTTCTGGTCCCCATTTCGAATTAATTGACAGCAGGAACCGCATTCTACTCTTAGAGGTCAGAACAGCCCATTGACCTAAGATGATCCGGGTCGAACCTTTTGTTTTAGGAACATGCTGCCTGGCGCTATCTTTGTCGCTTATTCAAATACAAAACGCAGAGCAGTCTTACATCATTCTGGTCACCATGACCTTCAAAGGGTCAAGCAAGGTCAATGACCTCGGATGGGCTCGTGACTTTTTGCTTAGAGACAGTTGCCTAGGTGCTGGGGGCGCTTTGGAGACCAACCTGGAATTTGACCTTGTTTGACCTTATTCAACCTCAAGATCATGACCTAGGAAGCTGAAACCCTAACTTAAGTGAGTTCACGTATAGGTCAAGACACCCTGTAAATTTGGTGTATCTAGTTTTCTTAGTTCCCGAGATCTCAGAAGGGGGGGGGGGGTGTCATAATGACCCCCCGAGCGAAGGGTATCTAGCCGGCCAACCGGGCGCGTGTTAAAACATAGTAATTTCATGACAGTATTATGAGCACAACAAATCATTAACACCAGTAATTTGATGCTGCACTTTTCAATTCCCTTCCACAGCACTTTCAACACAAATCAAAGCAAAGGAATTCAATAACAAAATAACAACAGAAAATGCAACAAGCATAAAATACTCAAACGAAAAAACCTTGTACTCCTACACAACAGACCATCACCAAGCCAAACACAATAGACATACTTCTGGCTTCTGTTAAGATGGGGTCAGGGAATACAAACATTTTGTCACTGTTTCTTACAAAATACCAATTCTTATTTCCATGAAAGTAGTCTATGCCTAACCTAAAGAGGCCTTACATCATCTCATCCTGTATAACCTGTTTGTATCACAGCAGCAGTTGTGAGTTACTGATTCTTGCACATTTCCTATTGCCACTTGCCATGCACTTAGCCAACTTAACCTAACTTATAGTAGCCTATATGATCAACATCATCTCAACTCACATATCTTTTGACAGCAGCACTCGTGATAAAAACATGGTATTTAAAGCTAGTTTTTGGCTGGCTTCAACTTGCATTTTTATTCAGTTCATTTGTGTATGCTTGTTGACATCAGACAAAGTTGACAAGACACAAACAAAAATACTTGAAATCACTTTGAACAACTTATTTTGATTGTCACGGTAAACCTACGTCAAGGGCAATAATGGGTATGCTCCACAAAACAATCTCTCTACTCCAAAAATAACATAACTTTTAGATGACCACGCCAGTATTGCTGCTTGCCTTTTCAGCTGGAGCAAATGCATCCATTTGGGCTTGTATATTCATATTTAATTACAAAGTTTGAGATGTTGGGTTCACATTTTAGATGGGGAGGCCTGACTTTTTGTTACATATCAATATTTAACTCATGTTGTAATTGATATGCAGCCTAGAGTATCCCTGTGTTAAAAATATAGTGCATATATACAATACAGTTATTTGTCGGTCAGCAAACCATGACAACTATAGAAAACATCTAGCTAAAGCAGCCATGAGAGATCACTTTAAGAAATTTGGGGCAAATAACCGAGAATATGGAACAAAATAAGCTTGTGGCATCATAATTTGTCTTATGGCAAAGCTCCATGCATTAAAACAGAAAATGGCTCACTCTGGTTACCAATCATGTGTTGAAAGCAGCTAAGGTAAGCAACTACTTGGTCCACAGGAGACTTACTGGCTTCTTCCTGCCCCCCCCCCCAAAAAAAATCAGCACCTTTTGCATGGACTGCTGGCAGACAGAGTCATCCGACTCACCTCCCAAATATAAATTTCAATCATGCCCACCAAACTTCGAGATTAAAATGCGAAACAAGTAAGAGGTGTGTGCGATAAACATCTCCAGAGGGCAAAATTTCGCCATCAAGCACTTCTGTATTAGCTGCATCAGGTCTGTCCCAAGGCTCTATATGGCAGCCTTGCCTTGCCTTAATAGCCTTTGCCAGGTAGCCTGGTGAGTCAGACACTCGAAAGGCTTGGATTTATCATTGTTGAGCACCGCCATGATCCAAGAAAACGGTTAACCAAAGGTTTAAGAGGGCAAAAAATGGCGGTAAAAATAAGTTCCGTGCTTCAGATTGTCTCCTTCATTCCCTGTGAATTGTTCACGCTTGGGTGCATATCAATGATGTTTGGTCGGCTGGCGATTAATCCAATTTATGTAGGAAATACGCAGAAGTTTCCAGTTGTAGCATCGTGCAGAGAAATTGTTCAAAAGTTTAAGCGGCAGGCGGTACCTCTAAAGACAATCGAAAAGGAAGGAAGAATGAAGTGGCATCACACTGGTATGATACCAAGAAAAACAAAAGTAGCTAAATGAATATAAAGACTGGTATTTTTCTCGCAAAATTTTGTTATCGGCTGATTTGACTTAAAATCTGTTAATATAAGTGCTCAAATGATGATACTAATCTTGTAAGTTTAAATTAGAAGACATTTCTTGACCTTTTCACTCATGTATTTCGGGAGCGATACAATTTAGTGGTCAAGTTTCCTCGGGAAAAAGAAATACGTGGAGTAAAATTCTCTACCAGGCCCTACTGGTGTTTGCACCAGGCTCTGCTTTCGTGGCGTGGTGGTGAGACCAAAAAATAGGGGATGCGTGAAAACCTTGCATTTGGCGCACAGCTGCAGATTGTGATGCATTTTGTAAACAAACCAAACTTAATGCGTGCAAGCGGCTGGGGTCGCTGGGGTTCTTGGGCTTGGAGGCAACTGGCGCCCTTGCTCTGTGCACACATAGACATGATTCAGATGTAGGTGAGGCAGGACATAGCCATAGGTGTCCAGGTTCTGCGGAACCTCGTTTATGCTTGGTGGTTTCAAGTGAGCTCGGTTTTGGATGACATCTGAAAACCTCAAAAGGGAAATAGGGGTTTGGCATGTGCGATTATACAATATCAGGCAGGAATGAAAAATTCACACAAAATATGGGGAAAAGGAGTGAAAAATTCCTCCTCATAGGATGTTGCTTGACACCCAAAGTCGGCAATTCTAGGACACTATGATAAAGACGTACCATGGCGCTACTGGACAGTGACATATTGAACAATATGGTTACTAAATGGTGAAATTGTGCTGTCTTGAGCAGTCTTTAACACCTGAATGCAGACCAGTCGTGAACTTAAGAAGTGAGCTGATTTCATCTACTCTAACGCTTGAGAGATTGGCTGCCAGACTGACCGTGTCAGCATTGCCACTGTAGTAGACGGGCTAACTGAAGTAGTTTACCATCTGCCATCGCTGCTGATCTTCAGGCTGCATATTTCGGTGTCACTCCTCTCACACACCATATTCATACAAAGCTCATAAAGTCCCCGCTGATCCGAAAACCCATAGAGCTGGAGTCCATATAGGTCATGGCATCAGTGCATCACTTTGCGTGGCTTGAATTGCATGCCACTTTTCAACTAAACGCGGTGCGTGTAGCCTGAAAGCTTGTATTCAAAAATAAATATTCCACAGATCTGTTCGAATACCCATAACAGACAAGACGAGGGACAACACATTTTTACTAACGGGACGTTGGAAAAAAACATGGACAAGGACGTCTGCACAACTGGTTTGCCTGCTGCTACATGATGAAAGACATGATAATCGAGGTGCAAATAAGAAAACAAACCCCAAATTTGTTCTCGTTGCTGTCCAGTGCCACCTCCGTCGCTGCAATGTTCCTGTTCGCTGATCATTTGTACTCATGCCTGTTGTTTCCTGGACCATCTTTAATAACTGGGCCTGTAGGCGGGCTTGTGGTAAGCCGGAGCAGGGGAGTAGGCGGGCTTGTAGGCGGAGCGGTGATGCACAGGCGCAGCAGCATAGGTGGCCTTGTGGACGGGCCGATAGGCGGACTTGTGGGCGGGCTGGGCGTGGTAAGCCGGCGCGTGGTACTGCGGGTACTGGGCGTAGCCCTCGTACGTGACGTCAGCGTTGTAGCCGCCGTAGTGGTCGGCGTAGTACTTGACGTGCTGGGTGCGGCCGTCGGGCAGCACGACGCTGTACTGGCCCTCCACGTTGTCGCCGTTGCTATGCTCCGTCTTGGAGAACTGGGCGCCGTAGTGCGGGTCGTGCACGGCGTAGTCGTAGGCGTACCTGGAGGATACAGATTAGGAATCACACGTTTGTCATCAGTAGAGGGCACCTAGGCCCTTACCCCATGCCTAAACAGTTGCAGAGATCCGCGTTTTTGTCAGCGCCAAGTAACAGTCAGCTTGGCGTTGAACAGGACTTCAGAGTCCTAGATACTTGTCATGCTTTTCATGGTGTGCTTACACGGCATCCTCCGTCAACGGCTACCACACCCAGCCCTGCGCGGAGGGTCACTTACGGCCGCTTCTCGTGGTAGTCCTCCTGGTGACCGTAGCCCTTGCCGTGCTGGGGCGCGGCCGCCGCCACGACGGCGATGGCGGCAATCAGCAGAAACTGTGGGTACACGTAAACGCGGTATGGACGGTATGATATGGCATGAGCTGATAAGATCTCGAAGGAGATATTTCAGACGCCATCGGGACGTCGCAAAACACGTCTGGATGGTATGGATCTTTTTGTATTTATTTGCATTGCTTGTGCAGTCACGCACACACCGGCTTTTACTTGGCATCACCGTCAGGCCAAGGTGCGCTGTAAAAAGACGGCGTCAAATCAACTAAAACGCGGCTAAATGTCAACATTGCTGTGTGATGTATTGGCCTACAAGCCATAGAAATGAAGACGGCTGTCTCTAAAAGTTGACGAGTTTAGCGAACTACCGGCAGTGGCCAACAAGTCATGCAGTGTACAGTGGACAGTGTCCACGCAGTTAATCATGTTCTGTGTGGTTTCGATGGTAAGGTGGGTTAACAAATCTGACCTCAATGATAAGGGTGTGTTTGATATTGATTCTTCCAACAATGTGCGGTAGGTAACATCAACATCGTTTAAGCAAACAGAAGAAGACTGAATGCACTAAATTTTTCCTGCTTCCCCAAAAGATCAAGGCGATAATTAAATCGCATATTAGTTAGTTCTGTTCTAGTTCATAGCTCAAAGGCTTATTTCAACAGTCAAAACTGATTGGGAGCAGGGGCGGATCTAGCCTGAAGTTGTTTTTTTTTGGGGGGGGGCAACCGTTCGTCGCCAGCTGACTGGTATGGGATCCGAGGTCCTGTGAGTGATGTCTCTCGCGAGTACCTAGTAGGGACACCATTCAAATCCGTAAAAGGCACCGAAATGCTTTTGAATCTTAAACAGAAGTTAAGACAAAACAATTCAAACAGTTTAAGCTAAAACAGACGATAAGTAGACGAAACTTTTATGAAGTTCTGGGAATGTTTCGGGGAGGCCAAAACATACTCTCAGAGGTTTTGGGGGGGGCATGGCCCCGGGCCCCCCCCCCCCCCAGATCCGCCTATGATTGGGAAGAAACGAAATGTGTAAAAAAAAATGCCGTGTAATGAATGTTGTTGAGCCACGCACCAACTGGGGCACTAGGCCGTGGCGGCGCAGGCTCCAACGCCGGCAGCCGCCCAGGTCCAGCCGCAGTTTATCTCAGCGGAGGCAGCACTCACCTTCATGTCGGCGGTGGCTGCTCGGCAGTGAACTGGTACCTTCACTCCGACCCGAGCCCCTTTATACCTCCCACGAGTGGCCAGGGTCAGTCGCGGTCGGCGGCGGCCACGGGCTGCGCGGGTCAGGGAGGGGGGGGGGGCGGCGGCCAGAAGGTACCCCCCACGGCGCTCCTTCGCCCCCGTTCCGCAGGTGGCATTGGTTTGGGTCTTGGGACTGCCGAGTTTACGCAACACGCGACTCGCGCGCAGGTGGCCCAGGTGGGGGCCGTGCCGGAAAAACGCGGATTTGAGCGGTGCGATGAAGTGGTTTGTGTGGTGACGAGCGTAGTCGCATAGCTCTATGCACGATTTCGGCGTGAAAGGCCACGAGTACGACCGCAGATCTGCAGTTCCCTCGGGGAACTAGTTCATGCGCACGGAACGCAATGGCACACGAGGCGTAATAATGAATTGACAACGGAACGGATAGGTGCTGGTGGAACGTAAATGAACGGCGCTTCCCAATGCCCCAAACGGGATACATTGGTGGCCACGCGGAAACGGTCACCCACAATCAGCGTCCCCGCGGTCGCGTGCGCCGCTCCAGCCGGTTACTGGCGGACGACGAGCGCAGCCACGTGATCCGCACCACGCCGGAGCTCCACAGGCCGCACGGGTCGGCCTGAGTTCCTGCCGGATGTGCTGTCACTGATGTGACGCCCCGTCACAGCCCCAGCTCAGCGTGCAGCTACGTCCCAGCACCTACATCAGCCACATCGGCGGCACCCAGAGCGCCTCAGGAACTCCTGGCTTTCTCGAGGCGTCTGCAACGCCTGTTGGCTTGTTTTGGATAGCTGACGCCAGTGAGCTACCGCCCCTGAAATATCACGTGCTGCCGAAACGCGCAACCTTGCAAGCAGCTGATAAGTCTATCTTTTCTAGCTTATATTTCAAACACATCGGTCAGACACACAACAAGACCTAGACTGTGATACTGCACACTGTCACCCCGCCCGGTCTATGAGAATGCTGTTTCGTAACGATGAGATACATAGCCCGTGCTTTCTGTGATGTTATTATGTACACCAGATGCTCACAGCATCATACATCCGAGTCGTTCAAATTTGGCTACCGCAGAGTGACCAGATAGTTGGAGAGGAGGACCTGTTCAGGCTGTACTCGAGTCCAGCCGGAGATCAGGTCAGTCTATACTCGAGTCAAACTGAGAATCAGGTCAGTCCGTACTCCAGTCAAGCCGGGGAGTCTGTACTGGAGTCAAACTGAGAATCAGGTCAGTCTGTACTCCAGTCAAGATGGGGATCAGGTCAGTCCGTACTGAACGTGAACACAGCTAGACTTCAATGGGAACTCAAGCAAAGAATATACTGCGTCAAACATGACTTCAAGACGGGCTTGTTCCAGAAGATTCAGGACACTTTCGTGCATCAGTTCGAATGTGAGAGGGCCCCTCCATGAGCAGAATTCAGAGCCGGGTGGACCACTTTGGGAAGTATGAGACCGTGGAGAGTCTTAGTGCACCCAGTGGAAACCGTACGAGCCACTTAGGACGCCCGCGAAAGCGTACAGCCGAGCTGGTCTAGACCATGAGAGAGCCAGTTCAGCAGAGTTAGAGACCAAGACTTTAGCGACCCCATAGACCAGACCTAAGCCTCTCCTCACAGATGTTTTCCTTTTGGGTTACGTGAAAGAAAGAGTGCAAGCAGGGCGACCAATCAACATCACGAGACTCAAGGAAACCATCAGGGAGAAGATCATAGCTGCTCCTTGGTCGGTTTGTAAGGACGCTATGGACAAGTTGCGCTACGCCTCGAGAAATGCAGAGCTAAATGGAGGTAATCTCGAACACAGGTTCCAGAATAAAGAAGAAAAAGCCAAACGCTCTCATGTTTTGAGATGATATTATAAACACAGCAACCAGTAATAACCAAACTTTTATTCACCTCTAAAAGAAAACTACAAAATAAACTCCATCGAAAGTTGCGGTCCGTTTTTTCGGGGTAACCCGGCATATATCTTATTTGTATCTATTGCAATACATATCACCAACTGCAGTGGTTCATTCCACCGCGCATAATGCGTGCCTACGCACTGGGATGAACGAACAGTCGCCGCTAAAAAGGAGCCACGTGGTGTAAAGCCCGTGAGGCTTTGCAGCCAGACTGACCGGAGACAGCGGGCTGCCTGGATACTCGGAGAGACCGGAATAACCACACGTGCGGCGACCGCTGCGATGCCTCGTGCTCCGGACACTGCCCGCCAGCCGCAGGCGCGTGTGCTGGTGACAGAGCCAACCAGTGACCGCGTCTGTTCAGGGGAGACAGGATGCAGCAGGGCATCATGGCGATGGCGACTGTTATGTAAAACGCGGCCTCGTTAGTGTTATGTTCGTTGCTTGTTTCAGCTGGCCATGCTTCGCGGGCAAATGATCTGTTTTACGCTTATCTCAGTTTAAGTCGAGTGGATGTTTCAAATTTGTAGACTTTAAGGCCAATGTTCCACATTTACATGGGGTTTTGATCTGAAATAGCCATCTTGCAGACCTTTCGGTGTTGTTTACAACCCTGTCCTCTAGACCTAAGCCCCCCCAGTTTCTGAGCTATACGTCCGCGAAAATAGGAAAAGGTATATAGGGGAGAGTATTTCAAAGTCACCTTGGCATCCACGACGGTACGATAACGTTACTGAAACTCTGCCATTCCATAAGCCATGCGGCGATCAATGCAAAAACAAAACAAAGCAAAAAAAAAAAAATGCCGAGGCGTCCATATGTGGCGTTTGTGAGTGCAATACCAAGATGTCAAGTGGCCGTCAAGTGGCCCTCATCATTATTGTGCAAGAAACGATGACGTAATCAAACCGTGGCGCATTGAGGAGCAGATTTACTAAACAGGGAATTGTGCTGTCAAGACCAATCTTGTCCACTTAAAAAGCATAAAAATAGCTATAAGTAAGCTTGTTTAATCAGATATGATGCTTGCCTCAATGTATTCAAATGTGAAACACCCCCTTGAAGTCGAGCCACACGCGCATGGCCATTCCCGGTAGCCTAAGAGCCTCGCATGAACTGCGTCCAAATACACGCACTTGCGACCCACGCGCATTGGATCTGGAGATCATACTTCGCGGGTTCTGAAGTCAGCGCCTTGCAAAATCTCGGCATGAAAATCAGTCGTGATTTTGGAATTCGGATTTTTCTTGACCCAGGATCCATATTCTTAGAGCAAAACACGGTCCGATGAGAATTTCATCGAAACGTTTTCGTTACATTAGTTCGCCATGCAGATATTGACTTGTTTATTAGGAGAAAAAACCAACATAACTTTCCGCAGTAGCAGCATGTCTTATGTTATACGGCATCCAATACAAATGCTTATTAACAATCGGCCCGGAAACAATTATTTGAGCTGGGTCGACGGGTGCTGACGGTTTCTGTCCGGTATCATGAGGTGGGGATCGGTGTCTTCAAGGTATTCACACGCAGAATGGTGCTGACAGGAACCGAACCGTGCAAATACTAACATTCGGAGACAAAGACAACAAAATATTTATTTCTGGAAAGTCTAAATATGCTCTTTCAATTAAATTGACATTAATTTAAACGAGTGAATAAATATAATCAACACCTATACTTCTACCATAATTATACAGAATAAATTACATATATATATATATATATATATATATATATATATATATATATATATGTGTGTGTGTGTGTGTGTGTGTGTGTGTGTGTGTGTGTGTGTGCGTGTGTGTGTGTGTGTGTGTGTGTGTGTGTTGTGTGTGTGTGTGTGTGTGTGTGTGTGTGTGTGTGTGTGTGTGTGTGTGTGTGTGTGTGTGTGTGTGTGTGTGTGTGTGTGTGTGTGTGTGTGTTGTGTGTGTGGTGTGTTGTATGTATGTGTGTGTGTGTGTCTAATTTTATTTAGCTGAATTAAAACAGAAGAACCTGTTATTTTAAGTTCGTGGAAATGAATGATGCAACATTATTTTAGAGAATTATGGTATGTTTTTTAGATATAGTTATATCAATATGATGTCAAATTAAACCCCCTAGCGTCACAAGCAATAAGAAAGCGCCAAACATAATATCGAATGAGACACGCTTATAAGTTCCGAAAATATGCGTTTCCAGTGCATGCATATTTCATGCGATGGAGCACACAGACGTTTAAATCTACGCACAACCATTTAGAGAAAAATAAAATGGAGCTTGCCTTACAGAATATTTTAACCGATCAAACCGACTGGCTAAAAAATGAGGTTTGTATTTGCATGGTGCTTCAACAGTAGACATGTGGTTATGTGGCAATCTAGGAATAGTGCCGGCTGCTGTGCTAGCATGTGGCTGTTTTTCCAAGAGAAATAAAAATGTTGAAAGGGCATATTTTTAGATAAGACAGTAGCATTAGCCTTACTCCTCGGGGTAAGGCTATAGGCCTCCTAGGCTAAGGCTAAAAGGAGAATGGAGATAAAGTTGGGTTTACCAACTACATCTTAAGAGAATGGGGATACAGCTGGGTAACCCACCTATATCTCCATTCTCCTGGTTTTGCTCCGAGGAAAAAGGCTAAGACTACTGTCTTATCTATGTGAATAATGTTCCTCGCTAATAAACTGAACATCTTACGTAATTTTGAACCGAATAGGCAATGTTTCTAATCCAATTGGGATTTTGAACCGTCCACGTAGGGAAGAACGGAATTTCAATTTACATCGAATGACATAATTGATTTCTACACATTCACTTCCATTGACGACATCTACCACATATTTCAAGTGCCCCAAATTTCTGTTGGATGATCCCACTACTTAACATCTCGATATCATTGGGAACGTAGCATTCGCTGGAGCGACAGGCTTTTCGAGTATGTTACTTGTCAGCGCTGACAACAGCTTGCGAAAGCGGCGGAAGAAACGACTAGTTGTGCAGTAGAGTTTGTTGGCTTGTTTCCAGCAAGAAGGATATCATATTTTGTATTCCAGTGATGAGTGAAGATCAAAGCTTAAGTGCGCATAAATGAGCC